TTGCTCTTTCTGTTGTCTTTTATGTTGTACATTTAAAATGTGCTATAAATTTGGTCAGTGCAGCAAAGATAGTAAGAACGTAGAAAAATAGTAGAATTAAAGATCAAAATGCTAGCGGAACATTGAAAAATATTACTGAAAAGTTTCAGGCAGCAGCAACAGTAGTAAAGGTATAAAAAACTGAAGATCAGTTTTTGTCTTTCTGCTAACAAAAAACTGTTGTTTATTTGTATGGGTGTAATAAGATTAGGCGGAACTGCTTTGCTGCTACTGCAGTTCTATCGCCCTGGCACCTCTGAGTGACAAACAAGAGCACGGCATAAAATGAAACTTATCTTTGGAAATGAGAGAAAGAACAAAAACAAGAAAAAGACAAATGAAATTATGATAATAACAAAACCTTAACCGATCAAAACTGTTTTGCTGTTTTTTTTTTGAGATGGAAGAGAAAGGGGTGCAACAAACAGCAAAATCGGTTTCAGTAATTATCAAACAAAAAATTTTGAGAGAGGTAGGCATTGATCGTAGAGTAAAAAAGCCGCTTTTCTTATGTTTACTGGTTTCTATGAGAAAATAGCAATAAAAAAAAGGTTTAAGAAACCTGATCGTTCAAGACAAAACAGAATGCTGAATTTGTTTTTTCTGTTTACAAGAAAATAATAATGTGAAAAAAGATGGTCATTTTTGATAGTAATTTTTACTGCAAAAAGTAGAGACCGTAATAAGTGTCACTGTCCAGAAAAAAAAATTTAAATTTTTTAAAACCTTTTTCTGCTTTCGTAGTTTGGACTAGATGCAGCAGCGGCAGCAGCAGCCTTAACAAAAGAAAAGCAAAAAAATGGCGAAAAATTAATATTATTATTATTGGCAATAAAAAATTTGGAAAAAAAATGAAAAAAAAATATATTTAAATATTATAATTCACATAATTACAAATTTTCGTTACAAAAAAAAGATGTTCATTGAGCATTTGAAGGCGTTTGTATTATCCAGCTTGACTGATGTATAGCTAAGTGCAACTGATACAGTGATTTGCTGCGGCTCTTCAAAACCACTGATCCACACCTCTTCACATCGTACCGTATCTGTCCAGTCGTTATTTAACAGCACTTTTTTAACATTTTCTATTTGGTTTACGTGAATGGTGAAGTTTGAGCATTGAATTTTGAATGCTTTACCATAAAAAATTGGTAAATTTAAGATAATGCTTATGGTTGCAAACATTTTCTTTTAATTATGTGACATGAACAATAAAGATTCAGTAAATGTTTTTTTTTTTTTTATCATTGCTTTAGCAATGCTAGAAATGCTAATTGCTTATACTGCTCCAGTGTTTTTTTAGCCAGTTCCATATTTATCAAAACTAGAAGGCAATCAATTAAATCCTGGACAATCACTAATTGTACGAGGATATATTATCGGTTAGCTGCTTTGTAAACACTTTTTTTTTTGATTATTTTGGTTACAGTAACTTTCTGCTTCACTAATTGAATCGGTTTGTAAAAGTACTCCAACTTCAAAAATACAGAAGATTCTCATTAATGTACCCTTATTTTTTTACTTTTCTCTCTTTTTTTTCTTCTCCGTCTTTCAGTGAAACGGTCATTGCCTTTCCATTACAAAATTCATCGCCCGTATGCTGTTCAG